GAATGCTGCCTGGRAGCCTTGTGGACATCCACAGCTTGAGTCATGGTGTTTTCTTGTCCAAAATAGAATTCCCCTGACACTTGCATGGACCCATCTGCCGGTGCAGGAAACATTAAAACCCCGTAGTAAAACCCTTTTATTTTTATTCACATACAGAATGGGTCCATGATTAAGGACAAATCTTTCATCTCCAGTAAATTTGCTTCCTTAAAAAATTCCYTTTGCAGTTGTGCTGCAAATGTTTATCTCCCTTTTAATTTTACATTTTTGCATTGTCTTTTTCTGCTGTTGTTACTTTTAAATGAACTTTCAGATGTCATTATTTCCTCCAGGCTGGAGTGAAATGAGAAGGTACCTGAAAGGGTTTAGGGTGCCAACCTAATCATTGAATCCGGCCTTGCTGCCTGAAAATTTCAAAGCTTTAAAGCCTTGAAAAGGGATTCAAGTGGAAGTGGTGACACGTAGCAGCATAAATAATTATCTTTGGGCCCTTTCACCTCTGAATTCTTTTTTTACAGAGTACAGAACATGCTCTGAAGAGGTTAATAAACACGCTGCCGCGGAGTCCTTACAAAATTAATGCAGCTGCCATAGATCTGGGGGGCTCCCTGGGAGTGGGGCTTTACTGCCTTGCAGCGCTCCCAGAGAACCAAAGAATAAACTTGATGGGGTGGTGCAGGTGTTGGGCATTTTTATTCCAGCCTGGAGCAGCACACAACGGAGCGTCCGGATCCGTGGCTGGTGCGGCTCTCCCAGACCTYCGCTTTGTCCTTCCTTGCTGCTGGTTTTCAATGAATTTTTAAGCGATGTAGCCAACTTATTTCCTTTTTTTAATTGATATCAATCAAACCTGGAAACAAACCTTCCCTGCAGGAGCCACCCCAGCAGGTTTGCTCACCAGCTCTGCTGTTTCTGTGGTTATCTCGGCCACCATAGCCTGGGATAGAGGTGGATTTCTCTTTTAAAGAAAGGAAAGGAAGCCCCTTTTTTCCTTTTCACCAAAAAAAAAACCTGAGTAAAGAGCAAAGAAAGCCTGTAGCTGGTGTTGGTGCATCACATTTAATTAACTTGCTGGTCTCTGCAGTATACTGGGTTTGGAAATAATTTTMAATATTTCAGGAGGGCTCTGTGAAATTTTCCAATGGATTTTTTCACTGGATACTTGTCGTACCAAATGCCTGAATTTAAGTACAAATACGCATCTAATTTGGAGTAATTTCCAAGAGGGGATATGGATCTTTTTGTCCTCTTATTAAAGCGAATGAGTGCTGGAAAACACCGCTTCTGCAACAAATACAGCTTCAGCTTTTCCTTCAAATACTTCTGTGCAAAAATACAAGTATCAATGTCTATCTCTGCCTCCAACATTTGTCCCTTTGCTGCAGACAGAGCACAGCAGAGGTGTCCCAGGTGGGAAGTCCCTTGCCCACGGCACTGGCTGGGGGTGGATTTGTTTGTGATTCCGAAGCTGGTGCTGCGCAGCTCCGCTCTGCTCTGGGGGTGTCCAGCCCTAGCCGGTGTTTTCGGKAGACTCCGTAGATGGATGAGGGATGTTCAGCCTGTTCCTGTGGCGCCTCAAGCTCGCCCCACTTGTTTACTTGTGCTGCTAATCCCAAAAATAAATGCTTGCTTTTGTTTGTTTGTTTGCAGGCGTACGGCCCCGGGAGGCCCTACCCGCTCCCACCTCCCGCAGGAAGGTACAGCTGGAATTAGCTCCTGCCTCCTATTTTTTTTTAAATATGGAAAATGTCCGGATTTTTTGTTTTTGTTGTTTTTATTATTTGTTGGGCGGGGGRAAAAAAAGAATAAGTTGTTAAGCACCATCTCTGTAGTTTTTAAACCAATGCCTGTTTTAAATGTGCACATTTCTTACGGACCTGAGGATGATGATGATTTTTTGGGAGGGACTGGGAAAGAGCGGATTGCTGTCCGATGAGGTGGGAGTGCTGTGCTGTCCTCCTTACGTATCCAAGCTGTGCCGAGCGCTGCCTGCCACTCTGAACTCCAAACATCCTCTACTCTACACACAAGAGCCTGAAAACAGACACGGAGTTGGAAAGAATGCCCAGAAATGGGATTTTATGAACTCCYGGGGCAGACCCAGCAGGCAGCCGGCGGCGCTGAAAGGCACGGCCCTGGCTGCTCCTTGTCAGATGCTTCCTTCAGTTCTTCACAAGAGAAGGGATTTTTCGGACTTTGAAGTAAAACATTTCAACTTTTACAACTGTATGGCTGTTTCTGATGTGAGTTTTGTCATGGCATAACTAGGCAAGGGGACGTGGATCTGTCTGTTTGATACCTAATTTAAAATAGCGGCAAAGGGCAGAGATTCCATTCGTTTTTAGCACTCTTTCTAGGGCTTTTCTGTGTCAGTGTACCAAATCAGTAAATATTTTTATTTGATTTATAAAGTGGCTTTTGAAATTCTGAGCGGTGGTGTGTGGTTAATTTCCAAGCTCCTCCAGAGCCTGTTTGTATCTTTTTCACTTGTGTGCACACATTTCTGTTGATTTATTCAAAAATAATTCCACCCAGCCTCTACCCCAGTGTTTAAAATCTTCATTTAATTAAAAAAAAAAAGTTAAAAATAAAAAAAGAGGAAGAGGAGAGCATCCAGTTGAGCTTCCCCTTTGAACTTTTCCATTAACTCCAGGTATTGTGTAAATCAGTAAATTTCCCTGCCCTGCTCAGTGCAGGACACTGTGCTCCCTTCCTTCCAAACATCCAGGTGTTAATCACCAGCAACGAGGGAGAAGCCCAGACAGCCCCGTGTAACCTTGGGAGGAAGAAATCATCAACCTGGATTCATTATTTTCAAGTGATTGAGGGTGGAGCAGAATCTTTATTGTGATGCAGCGTTCCCGGGGCTGGGAGCCGCCAAGCCCTCCCCACGGCCTTCTCCCTCAGCCGGGAAAAGATTGGGAGCTCAAAAAGGGCCATTTTGCTTTTCCAGCAGGATAAAACTAGCAGTGAGGGTGAGTTTTCATGGGAATGGGCAGGAGGAAGGAGTGGGGTGGGTCGGCTCCATACCAACGGCAAATGGACCTCGGGTGCTGGTGGCTTTGTCCTTGGCTCTCATTTTTTGGGGGATGAAAACAGGTCTGGATAAACATTTTGGGGGCTGCTATCAGACAGGCTCATGTCTGCAGGTTCCCTTTTGCCCAGCTCCTCATCCCCTTGCAGTCTGATCCCAAGTGGAGCCAGCCTGGACCTTGGGAGCTGCGCTGCCCACCGAGACCCTTGGAGTGATGCTTGGAGCAGCGTGCTGGCCGAGGGGCTTCGGCTCCATGGGATGGAGGGCTGATGGGGATGGAGGACCTGACCGGGGAGTATCACCCCTCCTGGGGCTCTGCTTCTGCCCCCACAGCTACTGGTGGCTCTGGGGGTCACCCTGGGACAGCATCCCTGTGCAGCTCCTGTTGCTGCTCTACCTATATTTTTTTTTCCAAGCTGGAACTAAGCCTGCCATATCCCCTTGGATTTAACAGAATTTGATGGGGAAAACTCACCAGGCTGGGGCCAGTCCCACCCCAGACACTGTGAGCTAGTCCGTGTGGGAGCCAGAGAGGAGAAATTCTCCCTCACGGAAAGGGGAGGGAGCCGTGGGGGTCCCCATGTGGCATCTGCCGCCAGGGAAAGGGGGTCTCTGCCTTTTGCCACCCAGAAGAGCTATGGGGACCCCCTTCCACTCCAGGCCCCTGCACGGGCCTTGRGAAAAGGTCTGGGAGGGGGTGCGTGCTCTCGCAGAGGCCAAAATCCCGATTTTCCACCTCAGGATCGTTCCTTTATGGCACAGCCGGGAGTGGTGGAGCGGGCCCCCGGCGCCGGGGAGCCCCGGCGGGGCTGAGGTTCAGCAGGTGCCCCAAGGATGAGGGAGCCTGGCAGAGGCGGGGGGGCTGTGGAATTAAATCCTTGGTAGTCATGAGGGTGGCAGAAAAAAGGGGATTTTGAGGCTGTCCCTCCGCTGGTACTCCGAGAACGAAGCAGCCAACTTGTGAGAACAAGGCTTCCTTTTATTGTTTAAAATAAAATTAAAATTTTTTAAAAAAAAGAAAAACAAAAGAAAGAAAAATAAAAGAAAGAAAAATTGCCGGAAAGTCCCGACGAGTGTTTCCCGATGTGCGGTATTTCCTCGGGAAGCGGCGCGGGGATAAACTCCGCTCCGGCGTGGCGCATCCTCTGGCCCCGGCTGCTGCGGGGCCCGATCCCAGCGGGAAGCGGGGTCCAGCCCCGGGAATCCCCGGGCTCTCGTCACCTCCGCAGGTCTCGGAGCTCGTCGGGAGCTGAGCGAAGGGCCGGGGGCTGTGGCGGTTCCGCGGGACGCGCGCCCCGTCCACGCGCGGACATTCATTAACTGGGCGATATTTAATTACAACAACGAGAAAAAAAGGGTTTTCCCCCTAAATCTGAGCACCGGCGCTCCAGAGCTCTTCTGACACGGCTSCCGCCTCGAGCTGCGATTCAATTTACCTCCGATGGGGATAAGAACGGAATCGCACTTCGGGGCACCCCCCTGAAATTAATTCTGCCGAGATAAGTTGCGCTTCAGAAGGTTTATTGTGGCGCTCCGCGGCGCTGTCGCGGTACACGCCGGGGCTCCCGGGCTCCGCTGCCGCCGGAGACCGCGGTCGGGCCGGGAGCTGAASCCCGCGCTGCCCCGGCTGCCCCCGCCCCGTCGGGAGGAGCCCTCGGACGGGATGCGGCGGCTCGAAGGCGGACGGGACACGGAGCCGCGAACACGCGTGCATACAAACGCACACACCCCACGCACACCCACCCGCACTCACACACAAGCACTCGCGGCTGCTGTCGGGGCTGTTTGTCCGAAAACCGGAGAGACTTAAAAAAACTCGAAGGGAGGCCAGGAGGGGACCGGGGGTAGGGCGGCCGTCGGCGATTCCCGCGGGCACCGGCCACGCCGGGGCGGCGGCCGTCGGGGCCGGGAGCGTCCGGTGCCGGAGGAGCGGGGCTGTCGGGGGGGAACACACGGGACGCACCGATTACCACGTCCTGCCGTAGAGCAGGTTGGGGCTGACCATGCCACCGTTGTAGTCGGCGCCGGCCGAGTCCAGGGGGCCGTGCAACGCCGGCGGGCTGGGCGACAGCTCCTCCAGGTCAGCCGCCTGCCCCAGCGAGCCGGGGTGCGGGTGCGCGGCGGGGGCGGCCGGCGCGGCGGCCGGGGGAGCGGGGGTGGCTTGCCCGGGGGCCGGGGTGCCGCTGCCCGGCGGCGGGCAGGGTTTGCCGTCCTTCACCAGCACCGGCACGGCCACCCGACGCGGCGAGGGCTGCTGGCAGATGCTGCCGCCGCCGCCGCCGCCGCCGTCGGGGTGCAACTGCTGGGCGGCCGCCTTGTCCTTGGCCTGGCGCTTCATCTTGTAGCGGTGGTTCTGGAACCAGATCTTCACCTGCGTGGGGGTGAGGTGGATCAGGCTGGCCAGGTGCTCCCGCTCCGGCGCCGACAGGTACTTCTGCTGCTTGAAGCGCCGCTCCAGCTCGTAGACCTGCGCCTGGGAGAAGAGCACCCTCCTCTTCCTCCGCGGGGCCGCGTGCAGCGGCACGATGGCCTTGGCGCCCTCGGCGATGCCGCTCAGGCCGCCCATGCCGGCCACGTTCATCCCCGCCGACGGGCCCATGAACCTGGAGACTGAGCGGCACAGGCGGCTCAGCGCCGGCGGCCGCCCCGTCGGGGCCGCGGTTCCCCCCGCCCGGCCGCCCCCCTCCACCGCGCACCCCGCGCCCGCACTTACTGCTGGAGTAGCGGGGGTCGCCGCCGGGCCCGTACCAGCCGCCGCTCGCCGCCGCGCCGCCCCGCATCCCCTCGGGGTAGGCGGGCAGCTCGCCCACGTTGCCCAGCCCGCCGTTGCAGTAGCCCCCGACGGCGCCGTGCGGGAACTGCGAGACGCCGTGGGGCATGTGGTAGGCGGCCGCGCCCGCGGGGACGTGCTGCGGGACGGCGGCGGCGGCGGGGGGCACGGGCGCCTGGCGGTAGGGCCCGAGGGGCGCGCCCAGCCCGCCCGCCCCGTCCATGCCGCCGAACTTCTTGTAGCTCTCCTCCATCGGGCTGAGGATGTCGGTGACCGAGAAGGGCGTCGTGTGCTTGGGGCTCAGCGACATGGCGTGGCGGGGCGGGACTCGACGGGGGGGGGGCCGGGCCGGGCGCTGCCGCCGGCACCGGCGAGCCGTCCGCGGCGGCGGCCACCAGCCCCGGGCGCCGGTAGCTCGCCGGTTCTTTTAGCCCGGCGCCGGGTTTACGCCAGACGCGGGGGGGCGGAGCGGCGGCGGGCGGCCCCGGCCCCTCCCCGCCTCCCGCCGCCCCCCGGCCCCGGCCCCCTCCTCCCGGCCATTGTCCTGCGCCCGCCCGACGGCTCTTAAGCCCGGCCACCCCGGGGCAGCGCCGGAACGGCTCCGAGAGGCCCTGGCCCCGCCGCCCTCGCCCGTAAGTACCTGCCCGTTTCCCCGATCCCCTCCCCACGCTGCGCGGCGAGCCCCGGGCAAAGCGTCCCGGGGCGGCGCGGCGGCCCCGGCCCCGACGGCAGGAGCCGGGTAACCTTCTCCCCTCTCCCGGTCCCGGTCCCTCGGAGTCGCTGCAGCGGGGTACGGGACCGGCGGGGACCCAAGCGACACTGGGGCCCCTTTAGGGYTGATGCTTCGTTTGCGGTTGTGTTTTGGGGTTTTTTTCGCTCGTTGTTCGTTTGTTCGTTGGTTTGGTCACAACGAAAGCCGCTCCCTGGGCAGCCCGAGCACACGGGCGGGGACCGGGCCGACTGCGGGACGCGCTCCCCCCGCCCCGGGAAGCGGCTGCGGGGCTCCCGCCCAGGTACCCCGCGCCCGTCGGGGGCAGTGGCTGCGGGGCTCCGGCCCGTCCGTGGTAACGCTCCCGGGGCGGGGGGAGCTGAGCAGGATCTCTGCCGGGCTGAGAGGACGGGACGGGACGCAGCCAGACCCTGCGGCCAAACTTTCCCCAGCTCCCCCAGACCGGGCACCGCCGCGACGGGGCGGGCGGAGCCCTGCGTGTCTGTGGCGGGGAGATGCGCTGGGTGCGCATCCGGCCGCGCTCGGGCAGTGCCGGGGGTCACCCCGGGGCTGTGCCTTCCCCACGAATTGATCAAACCCGATGCGTGCAATGAGAAGCACCCGCGCCTCCCTTCCGGGCTGGCACCCCCTTCGGGGCTGCCCCCGATGTTTGCTGCCTGGCCACCCCCCAAAACCACTCTGCGAGTGGCTGAGGTCAGGGGTGYCCCGCGCTCTCCAGACTGGAGCTTTCTCTTCTCAAATTCCTTCTTTTTCCCGATCTCTTTGGATTTCTTTGGAGGAAAAGTGCCTGCAGTTCTGTGGTGATCGTTAAAAATTAAAGATGGGAGAGAGGACTGCTTTTTAAAGTTTGTGCTCCCCGCTGGAAGTCGGACACCCAGGTCAGGAGTTAAATGGGTCCCGAATCTCCATGCATCGCCACCCAAATSCCCCCTTCCTGCCAGTTGCATTCAGCTGCAATCTTCCCAACATTCGGGCAGAATTTCTGTCAGCTCCACAGTTTTTCCCTGCACCTCTTGCCCCCTCCCCTGCTTAAAAAAAAAAAAAAAAAAGAAACAAAAAAAAGAGCCTCTATCACTGTGGGAGCAGCAGAGGGGCTTCTGACATCCCTGCCCACGGGTGGGCACCCCCTGGCCCTCAGGGCACCTGGGGAGGGACACAGCTCTGTCCCTGGAATTGGGACCCCAGCACAGCCCCCAGTGCCCTCCAGTGTCACCACTGGTGAGCTGCTGAGCGGTGTCTGAGCCCAGCTTGTCCTTCACCAGTCTTCCTCCGAAGGCTGATAGTTACATTTTATTTTGGTTTGTTTTGTCATCTGGAGTTTCCCATCCCTTCTGGGCAGGTCCCCTCCTTTCTGGGAATCACACAGCAGGAAGGAGCTGCTGAAATCTCCATTCTCCCYGGACATGGAGGTGGCCTCGTGCTGTTGGGGCAGGTCGGGGCTCTCCAGAGGGGGATCAGGCTGGATGGAACCTCCCGGCCTGGCAGGAGGAGGCGGGGACCCCGCCCAGCCCTGCAGCGAGAGAACCCTGGCATCAACCTGCAGCTTGGCAAAGCAGGAACCCTGCCCTGGGAAGGGATGGATGGATGGATGATGGATGGATGGATGGATGGATGGATGGATGGATGGATGGATGGATGGATGGATGGATGGATGGATGGATGGATGGATGGATGGATGGATGGATGGACGGACAAGCAGAGAATGGTGCCCCTGCTCCCCTCTGGGAAGGGAGAGTCTGCTTCTGGAGGGATGATTCCCTGCAAGCCACTGGGGCAGTTTGGGATCTCACCACAGCCCCAGTGCTACTTTGGTGACAAAACAGGCAGAAATAAGGCAAAGGGCTGAGTGGGACTGGCTCTGTTTGCGTCAGACTAGCCCTATCACCCGGAATTTGGAGACGTGGCACAGGCAAAGTTTCGTAGGGATTCAGGTGACAGGTGTAGCACCAGCACCTGCAGCCTCTGCTTCCACACCAGGGCCTTGAGCTGGAAACGTTGGACACAAGGAGTGAAACACAGCGAGTGTGCTCTGGCACAGCAGCCCGGGAAGGGACAGCCAGGGGGAAAAGGACCCTGAACTCCACGGCTGCCCCCAACTCCTGCTGGCGGAGCTGGGATGAGGAGCAGGGTGGAGCTGGGCTGGGACAGGTTCTTGAGGGCTGGAGCGGGTCCCTGGGGCACAGCAGGGGCTGAGCCAGGTCCCTGCCTGCTGGGACAGCCCGTGTCCTTATCCTGGGAGCAGAGGCATCCCTGCATCCCCTTACAGATCCCAAAGGGAAGCACAGCCCGGAGGGAGCTGGTAGAAAGGCAGCCAATGAAACCYCCCATGGCCATTTTGCACTTAAAACACCCTGGATTTTTTCCCACATCAGTAAAATGATGTTTTGGATTAAAAGTGTAGCAGTGCAATGAAGGTTTTTGCCTTTCCCAGACTTCTCTGGGATAGAGACTTTTGGCAGGGTCAAGACCAAACACTAAAATGAAGGACCTAGGCAGTTTTTCCTTTTGCTTCTTGGTTCTGGCAGAAACCCAGTGTGCTCCTTTGTTCTGATTCAACTTCAGGGACTGGATTTTGTGAGSGAAAGAGGTTTCATTTCGCTCGTGGGTGTAACGAAAATCATACTGATGTAGCAAATATCTCACAAAAAAAAACCCAAAAATAAAGCAAAATAAAACAAAACAAAACATAAAACCAGTGCTATTTGAAACTCTCCTCGCTTACAGAATGTCTGCTTTTCTGACCTAATCCTCCATCACCTGGAGGGGCCACACAAAATTGGACTGCATCCTTCCCTATCCTGGGAAGATCAAACTGTAGATTCCAAGTGAAAAGAAAAAAAAATTTAAAAAATCACGTAGAAAATGTAGGAGATGTGACAGCACGGACTCAAGAAGCCAAACTCTTGGGTTTTAATTTTTGGGAATGATTTTCCTCGCTCCCTGATTACCCCCATTCCGCAGAAGGTCGCCCTGATCCCGGGCTGTGCAGATGTTATTTCCAGGAGTGCAGATGTTATTTCCGAGCCCGGCTTGTCTCCCTGATAATAATGACACATTTGGGGCTCATTTCCACACGTAAGTTGTCCTTTGCTGWGTGAGCCCGTGCCTGTCACAGCGGAGGTGTTGACCTCGGTGAGGCACAATTGACACGGAGATGGAGGCTGATTTTTGGGGGGCGTTTTTCAATAATCCAGTATAAATGCTAATTTATTTCTCGCCCCAAAAGCGATGGTTTCCTCTAAATAATCGGCGACAGCCGCTCTTTGCGCAGTGACAGCGCTGCGGTGGCAGTTTGCCTCGATTCAGCTCTCACCAATAATTTGCAGAGATTAAAAGGGTCTCGGAAACGGAGGCTTAAGGAATTGCTTTCTGAAGACGTCGCGAGATTGGAAAAGGAACCCGGGGGTTCCAGCGCACTCTAAAACCATTTCCACGCAAAGCCCGGAATTAGGAGTTTGAAGTGGCGCTAAATGGGCTGTTCACAGGCGAGGCAAGAAATTAACCCGGCGCAGGGACACCGCCGCTCCTGCGGCCGCCGCCTCTCCCTCGCCACGGGAAATCAAACCCTTCAGGAGGAACCGCGGGCCGGGGMTTGGCTCCGGGGGTCAGTGCCGGCGGCAGGAATGCCGGGCAGGAATGCCAGCAGGAATGCCCGGCGGTGGCAGGGCCGCACCAGGAGACCTTGTGGCAAGTTTGGGGGGTGGCTTACCCCGCGGTCAGGTTTTGGGGGTTGTTACTCTCCCTGTGCACCCTTAAGGTTCCCTGCCCTTCTTCACCTGGTGATAACTGCCGCGGCGTTATGTCTATCCTTGTCCTGCAGGTTTTCTTTACGCTATTTTTTTGGGATAAAACCCCTGCATTGGTCTCACGCACCCTTCCCTGGAATTCCTGCTTGCGATGGATGTTCCTTTGGGGCTCTTTCCCGGCACTCGCAGCAGGTAGGATGCTGCTTTGGGCTGAAATCCCCCCCAAATCCCGGATTCTCCATCCCATTCCCTTGCAGGTTCCTGTGGCTGGCTGTGCCTGTCCCCTGCCCCCTGGCAGCCAGGGGCAGTGCCTGTCACCTCACCTGGCTGTGCATCCCTCCAAACCCAGGTGTGGGTGTGGGTGACAGAGGAAGGACGAGCCAGCTTTCCTCCTGCCTGTGGGAGGGGATGTTTCCATCCACCACAATCCCAGGCTTGTGTCCTCAGATCCAGCTGGGAAAAGTTTCTGGGAACAGAAAGATGTGTGAATGGGAGCAGAGCTGGCTCCGGTGTGGGCAGCAGGAAAGYGAAATATCCCAGAGCTGCTTTTAAGGTTTTCTTAATTATTGAGGAGGCAAAAAATATTCCAGGGCTGTGTGATATTCCTGTGGCATCTCCTCCAGCTCTCCCTCAGAKAGCAGGTTGTAAATATTTATCTGGCACAGCAGCACTCCGTGCCCGGATCCCTGATCCCTGATCCCTGCCCCGTTCCTGCCTGGCAGAAGCGTGTGCCACCGGCTCTTTTGTGCTGGGCCTGCTGCCCCAGCTCCCTTTGTTGGGATGGTGTTTTCCATTCCATATTGTTTTCCTGGTTTAATTAGTGGGAATAACAAG